GGAAAAGAAGGAGAAAAGAAAGTTTCTCCTGGAAGAAAAGGAGAAAAGAAAGTTTCTCCTGGAAGAAAAGGAGAAAACAAAATTTATTCTGGAAGAAAAGGAGAAAAGAAATTTTCTCCTGGAAGAAAAAGAGAAAAGAAAGCTCATTTCGGAAGAGGAGAAGTGATATATCCCCTCGGAAGAGAAGGAGAAAAGAATCTTCTTCCCAGCAGAGAAGAAGAGAGGAAAGTTGCTCTTGGAAGGGTGTCCCTGCCATGGATTGCCCAGGCCTGGGAGCCTGAGGGTTCCACCTCTGGGGTCTCCATCGTGCTGTCCCCAGGCCCTGAGGCAGCACAGGGACTCAGACCACGGCCCGAGGCCTTCTGGTCGGTGCTGAAGGAGCCCCAGAAGAGCATTTTGGCGGGATACAGGTTCGAACCCTCCTTGTTTGTGCCCCCCCTGCACCCAGAGGGGCCCCCAGCTCTGAGGTCCCCCGTGCTGAAGAAGACAGAGGTGGTGGCCAGGGGGCTGTGGCCGTGGATGGAGTGACAGGGCTGGGCTGGGCAGCACCTGAGGTGGCAGAACTGGGATGAGACTGGAAGTGGTGCCATTCTGGGGCTGTTCCCTGCTGGGAATGCAGAGTTAGAGGGGGGATCTCCAGGGATCCCTCGTCTCTGCTGGATTTCCTGATCAAGGTGTCCTGCCCTGAAGCCATCCAGGGGGCTGGAGGAGCAGGGAGCCTCCCATGGGGTGACATTCCCAAAGGAGCCCAAAGTCCAGCCCCAGTGCTGCTGCTGGCAGAGGGGAGACCATGCAAGGGAGAACAGAGCGGGTTGGGTTTGGTTTGAGACTTGACAAAAAGCTGAATTGACTCTAATTGACCAATTGAGCCTCATTTGAAGAGTCCAAATGCTCATTGTTGAGCCCAATCCTAGGTCAGGGACCGATCCTCCTCTGTAGGATTCATGTTCTGCCATTTGGAGAGCTCAAAGCTGCTTCTGAGCCTCCAGCAGTGTCTGCCCAGCAGCCTGTGAGGGGTCATTGGACCAGGGCAGATGTTTGAGGAGGCAGGTGACTGATATGGGACCAACCCCTCCAACTTCAAGGCTTTCCACGTTGAAAATTTCCTATTTGAAAGTGTCCCAGGGGATATTTGATATTTGACACAAACACCTGGAAGTGTGAGGCCGCAGGATGACCTTCCTTTGATCCCAGTGGCTGCTGGGTCAGTCAGAGAGGGATCTGAGTGAAACCTGGAGCTGATGATCAGAGAATTCAGAATCCTTGGAAGAGGATTTAAGCTGCAGCTTAAATATTCCTCGTGACTGAATCCCTGGAGTGGACAGCCCATGGATTGTGGGGAATGAACTGGAACCACCATTTTACTGACTGAACCCCCCCCGAAACCCACCTCAGAGGGGGTGAAAAAGAAGAAGAAGAGACAGAAGCCCCCAGACCCTAAAAATTCTGCCCAGGAATTTCTTTATTCTTGTGAGATATCAGCTTGTGCTAATAGGTATAATAATTGATTGTGTTAATAAACCTCTAAAAAGGGGATGAGAGCTCAGTGGTGAACATTTTTTTGACCAAAGCTGAGTCAGTTTGAAGCAGCAGCTGGGCTGTGTTGGGATATAATTCCATGTCCTGTGGATATCAGGCTATAGGAGCATGGACATTATCCTGGCTCACTTAATGTGCTCCAGTGTCACTGCTCTGCAGAACCCCCATCCTTGCTGAAATGCTCTATTAGAGAAGAGTTGTGATCCTTCAGCTTTGAAATTCCCTTTGGATCCCTGCAGAGGTAGAAAGTAGGTGCAGCACTGGAGTTGTGCTCACTGTTCCCACACACAGCCCCAATACCCCCCAGGAGCCCCAAGTTTGTAAATACACAACTCAAACCCCCTCCAGCTGTTTGGAGGGAAAATCTGGAAGAACTTTCCCAGGATGAGGGGATTTCAAGGATCCCTCTCCCAGCAGGCCAGAGGTGAGCTCTGGGATTGCTCTGGGCAGGCGGTTCTGCTTCCCAACCACCACCCTGGAGAGGCTTTTATTAGAAGAAAACCCCAAAAGTAACAAATTAAATACCACCCATTGTTCTGTTGCACATCCCATCCCTTGCACACCTGCAATACCAACTTCTGGTCCTTCAGCCCCTTTGCACACTGATCTTTAAGCACTGATTGATTCATTAAATGTCTCCAAAGTTAAATCAGTTTAAGCACTGATTGATTCATTAAATGCCTCCAAAGTCAAGCCATGGATCTTTTCCACTATAGTTTATTGTCTCTTCTCCCTGCCTTACAAACCTCCAGCACAGCCCTGAGTTCTGTTCACTGGAAGAATCTGTGTCAGTCCAGGGTATATTTTTACACACAAGAAAGAGGCACCTGCTTTTAGGCAGTATTTCAAGTTACAGTGTGTCTTATGGGAATTCTACTGGGTTTTTTTTTTTGCTTTTAGAGTAGCATTTATTTGCAGTTCAGATGTTCACCCAGTTCTATTATTCAGCCCTGGTTTTGTTAGACTTCACATTTTTAACCCAGTTATGTTATATATATTTAGGTAGGTAATGTGTCAGGAAGGAGAATATATGAATACACACAATTTCTGCTGGTAAAAATCAACAAAAATGCTCAAAGCTTTGAAAATCAGCTTCTCCTGCCACTGCCTACCCACCATCTCAGAATCATGGAATGGTTTGGGTTGGAAGGGACCTCAAAGCTCATCCAGTGCCACCCCCTGCCATGGGCAGGGACACCTTCCACTGCCCCAGGTTGCTCCAACCTGGACTTGGACACTTCCAGGGATCCAGGGGCAGCCACAGCTTCTCTGGGCAACCTGTGCCAGGGCCTCCCCACCCTCCCCATAAAACATTTCTGCCTTGTGTCCCATGTGACCCTGCCCTCTGGCAGTGGGAAACCCTCCCCCTGGGCCTGGGAAAAAACTCTCTGCACCTTTCCCAGAAACCCTTTATAAGCTGAAAGGTCATAACAAGGTCTCCTGGAGCCTTCTCTCCTCCAGGTTGGACACCCCCAGCTCTCTTGGGGTTACTGCAATGGTTTCTTGGGATCATTTTGGAGCCTCTTCTGGACCTGGTCTAACAGAGGCAGGTCTTGCCTGTGCTGGGGTTCCCTGAGCTGGAGAAAGGAGCAGGGGGCAAGAATTCCTTCCCATCCACAACTTCCACCCAGACAATTATGCTGCTTCTCTTCATTTTATTCTTATTCTTTTTATTCTTCTTCTTATTGTTACTATTATTATTTTATTATTATTATTCTCTTAACTATTATTCTACTGCTAAATCTCCACCTCCTCCCGGTTGCCCAGGGGCCGGAAACGGGCTCTCCAAGTTGCCAGGTGCCTGTGGAGAGAGGGAACTGCTGGAGCCCTGCCATGGCCTGGGTGTGGGGAGGGTGTGAGGGTGCAGAGCAGCTCTGGGCACCCCGTGGGATGTGGGCACTCCTGGGATATGGACACCTTGTGGAATGTGGGTACCCTGTGGGATGTGGACACCCTGTGGGATGTGGGCACTCCATGGGATGTGGGCACCCCAGGGGATGTTGACAGCCCTGGGATGTGGGCACCCCATGGGATGTGGGCACCCCGTGGGATGTGGACACTCTGTGGGATGTGGGTACTCCATGGGATGTGGGCACTCTGTGGGATGTGGGCACCCCATGGGATATGGGCACCATGTGGGATGTGGGCACTC